ACCTTCTGTGTTTTTTTAATATTTTAAATTAGAATTTGGGGGGTACTGGGGATTGAACTGGGGGATCCTCAACCCCTGAGCCCCGTCCCCAGCCCTATTTTGCATTTTATTTAGAGACAGGGTCTCCCTGAATTGCTCAGGGCCTCGATAAGTGGCTGAGGCTGGCCTCCAATTGTGATCCTCCTGCCTCGGCCTCCCTCGTTGCTGGGCTTGACAGGTGTGGGCCTCTGAACCTGAACTCAGAGGTTGTTTTAGCGGGTGAATTCCAGGATGCTTGAGAAGAATAAGTTGGGGTTGGGGCTGGGGCTCAGGGGTAGAGCGCTCTCCTAGCATGTGGGAGGCCCTGGGTTTGATCCTCAGCACCACATGAAGATAAAGAAAGGCATTGGGTCCATCCACAAGTAAACAGTATTTGGAAAAAAAAAACATTTAAAAAAGAAGTTACCTTTTATTTAAACAAGGCTGAAGTGAGCTTTTCCGACATGCGTGCTAAAGCTGGAGCGCGTAGCTAAAGTTGGAACTGCAGCCTGTCCACCTTTGGTCGCTCAGGGCCACCGGGAACATGCAAAATGTGCATTGTTTAATCATCACCAACATTTCTCATTAAATGACTTTTTTTTTGTTCCCCTAATGCACTAATGAGATTTTCCTGATCTGTCTCTTGTAGTTTCATTCCTTGCCATCCATGTTACTCAACCCTGGAGATGTAGCCCCTGCAAAAGAGGGTTATTATCACAGCTGGTGGCTTGTGACCCACCGTGTCATCCCAGCAGCTCTGGAGGCCGAGGCAGGAGGATCGTGAGTTGGAGGCCAGTCTCAGCTAAAGCAAGGCTCAAGCCACTCAGGGAGACCCTGTCTCTAAATAAAATCCAAAATAGGGCTGGGGACGGGGCTCAGGGGTCAAGGTCCCCTGGATTCAATCCCCGATACTGAAAACAAAAAGTCTGATAATTTAACTGAGGACACATATCTTCGTCATCTTTTGTCACCTGAGAGGGCCTCGCACACTGCTTGGCCCAGAATCATAGAAGCTCAGAATGACAGGTGGCTCTGTGTAGCTGACCGTCTAATCCAAATTGGCTGGCCTCCAACTTGCGATCCTCCAGCCTCAGCCTCCCCAACTTGCGATCCTCTGGCCTCAGCCTCCTGAGCCTCCAGGATTACAGGCGAGTGCCACCAGGCCCACCCAGCTCCTGTAAGACATTTTTGTGGGGACCTTGTTCAGGGTGGTGTGTGGACAGAGGCGTGCCACCCACCCAGGGGAGCCTCCAGCGAAGGCTGTCAGGCGCTGAGGCTGCAGGTAGGAGGCAGCGTGTCCCAAGACCCAGGAGGCCCCCAGACTGTGGGGTCCGGGAAATTGCTGGAAGCTCGGCTCATCTGCAGCTCAGAGGGGGGCTGCCTAGAGCGGAGGGAGGGAGGGAGACCCAGTGTGAGGAGTCCCTGCCACTTTAAAGCATCTGGCCTTCGTTGTCGTGGTGATGGGTCCTGGAGCCTCATTTGCATTTTAGATTTCCCTGAGCTTTGTTATTTAAAGTGGGGTCTGGGGACAGGCCTGTAGTCTCCTTCCACAGCCCAGAGCAGAGCCCAGAGCAGCTGGAGACTCATACACACCACCAAAGCCCAGGGTGCTTGGAGGAGGTGCTAAAAGAACTTCTGTAGAGGCCAGGAGGCCTACAGTGTGTCCAAAGCCTCTCCTCCTCCTCCTCTTCCTTCTTCCTCTTTTCCTACCAGGGGCCCTTGACCCCGGAGCCCCGTCCTCAGCCCTGTTTTCTATTTGATTTAGACAGAGGGTCTCACTTGAGTTGCTCAGGGCCTCGGTTTGGTTGAGGCTGGCCTCCAACTTGTGATCCTCCTGCCTCAGCCTCCTAAGCTGCTGGGATGACGTGAGCCTGTGCGCCACTGCACCCCGCTGCCGTGAGCCTCTTGAAGGCTTGGCTTTTGCATTCAGGTGGGGCAAACCCGGAGGATGTCTGTCTGAGCTCAAGAGACCATCATCAAACAGCCACCGAACTTGCTCCATCCCTAGTGTCCAGGGCACGTCAGCACCTGCCGCGACCCTGTTGCTGTGAGGTCTCTGTCAGTGGACGGGTGGGTGCGTGGGTGGGTGGGGGACAGAAGGCACTCGGGCCCCGCTCGGATCTGCAAGGAGAACTCCGTTAGGATTCTCTGGGTGTATCCGTCAGCTAGTTCTGCGTAACAAATCGCCCCCGAATTTAGTGACTGGCGCAGCTGTTCCTAGGTGTGACCCCTGGGCCAGGGGCATCAGCGGGGAACTTGCTAGAGAATTAAGGCACCTGGACTCCACTCCGGGGTGGGGTCTCGCCCCCCTGTTTAACAAGCCCCCCATGTGGCCCCGTGCCCTGCGGTTCCCAAGGTTCCCAAGGCCCTGACATGGGACAACACTGTGCCCACCCTCGCGTGTGCAGGAGGGCAGTGCAGGTGGCCCTCCGCCAGGGGTTCTTGGGCTTTGGGGACCCCTTCCAGTGTGAGTTGGGCGGTGGCTCGTCCTTGTCTTAGCTGGACGCTGGGACCGTGCTTTCTGTGGACGGTCACCCTGTAGCGCCAGCCCCGCTCGCCTGGCCCAGAGCCCTGGGACCATGGAGTGTCACAGAGCCCCCTGAGTCTGCCCACGGAGACGCCACCTCCCTGCCCTGGGCCAGGGGCTCAGAGAGGCCGCAGGGCAAGTTCAAGGTGGGGACTGGGGCTTCAGGTCGCGCTGCGGAGCCGTGTCCCCAGAGGTGATTGGGGGCCAGGACTGGGCACTGGGGGGGCGACTCTGATAAGGCGGGTCTTGTGGCGGCAGGTGCCACCTGTCCCTTTCCCGGCTGCCTGTACTGGTCTTTCCAGGGCTGGGGAGCCCCAGGACAGCAGCCGGGGCACCCCACGATGGCGGAGGGGGTCGGAGCGGGAGGTCCTGCGGGGCCTGGGTAGAAAGGATCCAAGGGCCAAAGTCCACGTGCGCCAGGCTGCTCCGTCCTCGGTCACCAAAAGCCCTGGCCAGACCCACTGCCGGGAGGAGAGCTTACCTGGAGTCTGGTTTTAGAGGTTCAGTTTGTGGTCGGCGGACTCCACAGCCCTGGGCCTCGGGTGACGCGGGACATCATGGCAGAAGGGGGTGGAGGGGGACAGCAGCTCAGGACATGGCCCCCAGGAGGTGAAGAGAGTCCTGCTCCCCAGGAGCAAAACACAGACCTCAGAGGCGCCTTCCTGGTGGCCTCCTTCCCCAGCCTCACCCCTGCCTGGCCTCCTTCCCCAGCCTCACCCCTGCCTGGCCTCCTTCCCCAGCCTCCCCCCAGCCTGCAGCTGTTCCTGGCTCATCCCCAGATGAACCCACTGGCGCGGCCCCACCTCTGGTCACGGAACCCAGTCACCTCTCAGCCTTCCTGCACCATCTCACACCTGGGCCACTGGGGGCACCCATTCCTGGGGACAGAGGACTCTCCAAGGAAGGTGGACCCACATCGGTGGCCGTAGCTCTGGGGCTCTGAGGACCTGGGCTCTAGGAACCACCCACCCAGGCGCCTGGCTCTGCCTCTGAGTCCCTGGTGCGGACGCGGGGTCCGGGCTTGGAGCCAAGTCCGCCCGGAAGTGGCACCTCAGACCTTGGCCGTGGTGCCCCCGAGCCCAGGAGGCTTCTGGGGGGTGACCCCTGGCTCCCCTGTGGGCAGGGCTGGCGGCCAGGGCTCCTCAGGGAACTGGCCCCAGAGCAGGCACTGGGGGAGCAAGGTCACTGCCTCCCCAACTCCCAGCCTCGCCCCAGGGCCTCCCTACAGCTGGGACTCCGCCTCCTGGAGCTCAAGGCCCGTGGATGATGATGAGCATGATGATAATTTGGTCCCAGGGATGGAACCCAGGGGCCCTTAACCCCTGAGCCCCGTCCCCAGCCCTTTTTATTATTCACTTAGAGACAGGGTCTCGCTGAGTTGCTTAGGGCCTCACTAAATTGCTGAGGCTGGCCTCCACCTTGGGATCCTCGTGCCTCAGCCTCCAGAGCCACCAGGATGACGGGTGTGCACCACTGCATGTGGCCTCTGACCCTCGTTTCTGTCACCCCGGTGCTTGCTCTGAAGCCATGTGGACTCTCGGTGACCTTCTTGACTCAGTCAACCTGTCATTTTCTGTCTTGGAAACACTGCTCCTGACTCCTGCCCTGGCGCCTCCTCCCACCACGGGGCCAGGCGCTGCCCTTGGGGAGGTCCTTCTTGGTGCTGCGACGGGTCTGCAGGGTGCAGAGTCCCCTCGAATCCTGGGGCTCCCTAGTTTCTGGTAGAACAGTCTGAATGGGCCTGTTTCTTTCAGGATCTACCACCCCATAAGGTGGCTGTGGAGGTCAGAGTTCAGACACTGTTTGCAAAGCATTTAGCACATGACCCCAATAATATCAGATTTTTTGTTCTTGTACTGAGGATTGAGCCCAGGGGCACGTTACCACTGAGCCACATCCCCGACCTTTTATTATTATTACTATTATTTTGAGACAGGGTCTTGCTGAGTGGCTAAGGCTGGCCTCCAACTTGTGATCCTCCTGCCTCAGCCTCCGGATCAGCTGGGTATACAGGCGTGTGCCACCGTGCCCAGCTCAGAGACCCTTTCTGAGTAAGATCCTGCCCAGAAGGGGCCAAGTCAACTGAGTCCTCTGTCCCCTACCATCTCCCTCTATCTCCCCTTAGCCACTGGCACATGGAGGTCTGAGCAATTGTTCCTTTTTTGAAATGAAGATGGCATCTTAGAATCCTCGGGCAGCCCTTGGGTATTAGAGATGTCATTGAAATCCCCGGCCTCTGGCATCTTCTTTGTGACAGGTGATGGTGAGAGACAAAATCGAATCCCAGTGGCCCGGGAGGCTGAGGCAGGAGGATCGCGAGTGGAGGCCAGCCTCAGCACCTTAGCGAGGCCCTGAGCCACTCAGAGAGACCCTGTCTCTAAATGAAAAATAAAAAGGGCTGCGCGGTGGCTGAGGGGTCAAGCGCCCCAGGGCCGCCCTTGGCCTGTCCTAACGTCCGGCCTTTGTGTCCGCACAGGAGTGTCCCTGGGTTCCCGTGCCGCCGGGACCGATGAGCCTGGCCCCGAGGGCCTCCCGTCCACCTCTCTGCTGGACCTGCTGCTGCCCACCGGCCTGGAGCCGCTGGACGGGGAGGAGCCCAGTGAGTCCATGGGCCTGGGAGCTGGCCTGGGGGCCCCCGGCTCGGGCTTCCCCAGCGACGAGAGCGAGGAGTCGCGGATCCTGCAGCCGCCTCAGTACTTCTGGGAGGAGGAGGACCTCAACGCCTCCAGCCTGGACCTGGGGCCCACCGCAGGTAGCGCTTCCCGTCCCGTGGGGCGGCCGCAAGGGCAGGGGCGGGCCCTGCCAGCATCCCCTGTGACCCCCACGAGGTTCACCGCACTGGGGTCCACGGGACACCAAAGGCAAGTCCCCGGGAGTCTGTGCTTCTTTAATTCTAACCACTCTTTATTTAGTGAGGCCCTATTCTGTGTTCCCCACTTTTTTTTCTGGTACCAGGGATTGAACCCAGGGGGTGCTTAACCCCTGACCCCCATCCCCAGCCCTGTTTTGGATTTTATTTAGAGACAGGGTCTCTCTGAGTTGCTCAGGGCCTTGCTAAGTTGCTGAGGCTGGCCTCCACCTTGCGATCCTCCTGCCTCAGCCTCCCGGGCTGCTGGGATGCTGCACCACTGCGCCCGGCCAACTCCTTTCATTTGCCTTTATGGTAATATCTGACACACTTATCTTTTCAGCTTGACAGTGTCTTTCTTTCTGGATGTTTCTAAACATTTTTGCCTGTTTTTCTTTGCTTTATGACTAGTCTTTGTGTCCCTGAAACATGCACTCCCCCCTTCCTTCTCTAATCTACCGTAATGTATCATGGCGCATGGTGGAAGCTGGGATCTCCCTGCCCTCTCCCACTGAGACCTGTCGCCACGTGGACCCCGTGTGGAAGGTCATGAAGCAGGTTCCCTCCCGGGTCTGGGAGTCCGGGTCGGAGAGGCCGCTGCGCCTCGTCCTTCCTCCTGAGGCCGCAGGGGGGCGCTCGGGAGCCCCGCTGCCTCCTGGTCCGCTGACCTCCGTGGGCTGCCCCAGGTCTCCCGAGGACAATCACTGTCGCCCCTTGAACCTGAGCCATGTCGCCATCGGGAGGCCTCCCGGTGGCGGGCCTGTTCCTCATCTCAGGTCTGCACACTCCTCCACGCCAGCCCCATGCGACCCTGTAGGAAAACTGACGGAGCCCCCCTTTTATAAATTATGTTTTTGGTCCCAGGATGGAACCCAGGGGTGCTGAACCCGAGCCCCGTCCCCAGCCCTTTTTCTATTTTATTTAGAGACAGGGTCTCGCTGAGTTGCTCAGGGCCTTGCTAAGTGGCTGAGGCTGGCCTCCACCTAGCGATCCTCCTGCCTCGGCCTCCTGAGCTCCAGGATGACAGGCGTGGGCCCCTGCGCCCTGCTTGGCACATCATTTGGAAGTGAATTTTTCTTTTTTTAAATGTCAGAGCAGATCTACAAAACCCGTAAAAGCAGGCGTGATGAGTATCTCCGTTGTAGCTAAGGACACTGGGTGACAGAGATTTTAAAGTGCCACTGGATCACACAGAGGCAGAGCGAAGTCCCAAGCCTGAGGTTTCCGCTTCACGGTCGGCTGGCTTCAGTCCTCCTCTTCTGTAGCGAAGTCTGGAGAGACCAGAGCATCGGGACGGCCGTCCGCCAGACCTGGAGACGCTCTGGGTACAGCAGACCCTCTTTGGACTGTGTGAGGGATGGTCCCCAGCTCTGGGCCATCGCACCCTTACTGTGAGGATCACCAAGAGCGATGGGCAGATACCTGTAGAGCCAAGTGACAGGAGCATCCAAGGAATCCCTTTTACCCACACACTGGAATTTTTATTTTAAGCTAATACACAGCAGATAAAAAAATTAAATGCAGCCAGGCATGGGGTGGTGCACCCCTGTGACCCCAGCAGCTCAGGAGGCTGAGGCAGGAGGATCGCAAATTGGAGGCCAGCCTCAGCCACTCTTAGCGAGACCCTGAGCTACTCAGCGAGACCCTGTCTCTAAATAAAATAGAAAAAGGGGCTGGGGACGGGGCTCAGGGGTGAAACACCCCTGGGTTCCATCCCTGGGACCAAAAGAAAAAAGTGCAAATAAAAGAAAATAAATTTACCCATAATCCCATCACCCAAGTCATGAATGCTGCCTGTTGGCGACTCTCTCAGGGTTTCTGTCCCTGGTGGGAAACGGGTCTATAAAATAGTCCCTTAGATACGAGGGCTGCCGTGTGCACTTCTTGGAGATTCTCCTACATCCTCCCCCCAAGCCGGCAAACACACCTCTCTAGCCCCAGAATTGTCACAGAAGTATCCAGGCCAACAGGGACTTGTCGTCTTGTCCCTTCTTGCAGCGCGGAGGCTGGGCTGTGCCTTGGGGCACAAGGGAAACTCTATTTTCTGAATGTCTGATTTTTTTTTTCTTTTTTGGTACCAGGATTGAACCCAGGGGTCCTCAACCCCTGAGCCCCGTCCCCAGCCATTTTTACATTTCACTGAGAGACAGGGCCTCGCTGAGCTGCTGAGGCTGGCCTCCACCTGGCGATCCTCCTGCCTCGGCCTCCTGAGCTGCTGGGATCACAGGCGTGGGCCACCCCTCCTGACTTGCCCTCTGTTTTTTCATTTATATTTTTCTTTTCTCTTTTGGGCGGCGCTGGGCATGGAACCCAGGGCCTCTCGCATGCCAGGCAGGCGCTGTGCCACCCAGTTAGTCCTCCACCCTTGATCTGCATTTCTTGGATGCCGACCGAGGTTGGCCATTAAAAAGTAGTTTTAATCCTACCAAAGAGATCTTCCCGTGCTCCTCCGTTGCTCACAAATCTCCTTTGACTTTTGAGTGCTTTTGCATTATCACTTGCTTGAATAGCACTGGCCTGAGACTCACACTCAGGGGACAATTTTCAGCGATTTGACATTAACCTAAAAGGACGTTTAAAGTGACCATCCAAGGACTCCGGCCCCCAGATGCCTGTTTAAATGCCTGACTTGAACGGAGAAGTCGGTTCATTAATATTTCAGCTGGTGCCGAAGGTCATCTGTGAGAGGGTGGCCAATCTGGAGGCCGGAAGCCCCTCTGCATCCCGCCTCGCCAGCACAGGGCATGACTCTCATCCCAGCCATCTGGAGGCCGAGGCAGGAGGATCGCAGGTTGGAGGCCAGCCTCAGCAGCTGGAGGCAGGCTGTGGCTGGAGGAAGTGGGTCCCTGGAGGCAGCACCTTTGGGGTACATATTTGTCTTCTTTTTATCAGTGCATCACAATAGTGGGACTCTCTGTTCCATGTCCAGGACGATTCTGGCCTTTTCTTCTTATGGTGACGCGAACTGAACCAAGGGGCACTTTGCCACCAGCCCACGTCCTTAGCTCTTTCATTTTGTGTTTTGAGACAGGGTCTTGCTAAATGGCTGAGGCTGGCCTCCAACTTGCGATCCTCCTGCCTCAGCCTCCCAGCCGCAGAGCTCGTGAATGCTGTCACCTACATTGCTGTCCCAGGGACCTTCAGACATGAGATCTCATAGTGTGACGGACCTTTCCTTCCTCCTCCTCCCTCCCTTTCTGTCAGTCTGTGTGCCTGGCTGGCTGTCTGTCTCTCTCTCCCCCAGTGCTAAGGATGGATCCTATGGCCTTCCACAGGCCTGGCCACCACTCTACCCCTGAGCCCCGTCCCCAGCCCTTGTTCTATTTTATTTAGAGACAGGGCCTCACTGAGTTGCTCAGAGCCTTGCTAAGTGGCTGAGGCTGGCCTCCACCTTGTGATCCTCCTGCCTCAGCCTCCCAAGTCACAGGGATGACAGGTGTGCGCCACAGCACCCAGCTATGCACTGAATTTTATTTTTGAATCGATCTATTATAAAGTTCTGACTTATATTGAAGTAAAGAATTTTTATTCTTTTATGTATTTGTTTTATGGGTATAATTTCATATTGAATCTGAAAATATTAAGATGTTTTCCTTTTTTCTTTCTTTTTTTTGGTACCAGAGATTGGACTCAGGGGTACTTAACCACTGAGCCACGTCTGCATACCTTTTTTATATTTTATTTAGAGTCAGGAAATCACTTAGCTGCTTGGGAGGCTGAGGCAGGAGGATCCCAAGGTGGAGGCCAGCCTCAGCAGCTTAGCAAGGCCCCGAGCAACTCAGTGAGGCCCTGTCTCTAAATAAAATGGAAAAAGGGCTGGGGACAAACCCGCCCTCCTCCCCACAGCCTCATTGCCCACTGTCGCCCCACGTGACCAAGACTGCCGTGTCCCTGTCCCTGTAGGCGGGTGATAACTCTGTCCTGTCGCTCAGTGCTGCCCGGTGGGTCCCAGTAGGTCCATGTTGGAAGAAGCCAACGCACTTTCCCTGTCTCTAGACTACGTCTTCCCGGACTTGACGGACAAGTCGGGTCCCCTGGAGGACGCCGACCAGCCCCAGGACCTGCTGGGCCTGCCCTCGTCCTTGCCCAAGATGAACCTGGTGGAGCCTCCCTGGCACATGCCCTTGGAGGAGGAGGAGGAGGAGGAGGAGGAGGAGGAGGAGGAGGAGGAGGAGAGGGAGAAGGAGGAGGAGGAGGAGGAGGAGGAGGAGCAGCTGCTTCCTGTGACGGGACCCCAGGCGGAGGCCACCACGCAGGCGCCAGACTCTCCTCCCAGGGGCAGCAGCAGCCGGGCTCCGGGGGCCACCAGCCCCCGGCAGGAGGACTCTGGGGACCAGGCGTCCTCGGGCGTGGACGCGGAGAACAGTGCGGAGCCCAGCCTGTCGCCGCCCTCTGTCACCCCCAGCACGGTGACCCTGGGGGACCAGGACTTGCCCAGCCGGGAGGACACGGCCACCACGCTGCCAGCGGCAGGACTCGGGCTACAGTTCCAGGTCCCTCAAGGACACCGTGAAGAGGCCACTGTGGGGGCCCCCGACTTGGCTGGCCGGCCAGGGGACCTGCCACCTCTGGCTCCGTCCCCTGCAACCAGAGCCCCAGGCGAGGGTCACCTCAACCCCAGGACCTCGGCCTCTTTCCCAGCAGCCCCCCGAGACTCGGGGCCGACCCCTTCCCCTGCCACCCCGGGGCCAGACACACTCAGCCAGCAGCCGCAGGGGGGCCCCGCGGCCGGAGCGCCCTCCAGGACCCCCTGGGACTCCACACAGGTGAGGGGCGCACACAGGCGGACCTGCCCCCCAGAGCCCCAGGGAAGCCGGGGACGCCACCACCCCTCACGGCCCAGCCTGGGGCATCTGCCACCCTCAAGGGCAAAGACCTTGCTTGGTGGCCTCCTGGTTCCACTGTTCAGGAGGCTGCTGCTGCGCCCGTGGCCTCTGCTGTTGCTCCTCGGAGAAGCGCAGCAGGGAGCTGGCCTCCGCCCCTCCACCCCCGGCCCCCAACACACACCCACAGTTTCCAGAAGGAAAGGAAGGGGCCAGTTTTGGGGAGGGGGTACCAGGGATTGAACCTAGGGCCCTGGACCCCTGAGCCGTGTCCCCAGCCCTGTTTTGCATTTAATTTAGAGACAGGGTCTCCCTGAGTGGCTTAGAGCCTCACTTTGGCTGAGGCTGGCCTCTAACTGTGATCCTCCTGCCTCAGCCTCCTGAGGCACTGGGATGACAGCGTGCGTCACTTCGCCCAGCAGGGGTCTGTTGTAGGCAGCTTTTTTGCTACTGTGACTTAAGATGCCACTAGCACCACTGCAGAGGGGGACAGTGGATGTGGGGCTCAGGATGTCCACAGAGGGCGGCTCCACTCCTGGCCGAGGGGAGGCAGGACATCATGGAGGAAGAGTGTGGAGAGGGAGCAGCTCCCATGGGGACCAGGAGCAGGGACTCCACTCTCCAAGCCACAGCCCCAGGGCCACCTCCTCCCCACACCCCACCAGGGGCCACCAGGGGACCCCAGGGAGCCATTCCCTGCCAGACTCAGGCCCTCGCACCCCTCACTCCTCCTCTGGACCTCCCTGCATCGTCCCCACAGGGGCTCTGGGGACATGTCACGGCCACACCAGGATAGGGTCTGCCTGTGACCCACGGACCCGGCTACCTGCCCCCAGTCTCTGAACAGGGTCCCGCAGCCCGGCCCCAGGGACAGTCCCCCTTTTCTCTGAGGTGCCCTCAGCGTGGTCCCTGAAGCCACCTGGGTTTGTGGCTCCTGGGCAGGACCGGTGGCCTGTCACCTGGTAGAGGCACGCGTCCCACCTGGCGTCCCCCGGGACCCCTCCTTACCGCGGCCACCCTCTTTCCGTGTCCTGGTCCAGGTCATCTGCAAGGACTGGAGCAACCTGGCCGCGAAGAACTACATCATCCTCAACATGAGCGAGAACGTGGACTGTGTGAGTGCGGCCAGCGCATGCGCAGGTGGGGCGGGTCCCAGGGCCAGCCTGACCCCGGGACCGTCGGCCCCGCCAACGTTACGAACCCCCAAACAAGGACACAACAGACTGGGAGGGAGGAGGGAGGAGGGAAGGACACAGGATGCGTTTTGCATTTGAAGTTTTCTAAGGGGTCTTTCATTTTCTCCCTTTTTTAAAAAATATCAGGGATTGAATTTAGGGACCTTCCACCCCTAAGCCCCGTTCCCAGCCCCTTTTTCTATTTTATTGAGAGACAGGGTCTCGCTGAGTGGCTCAGGGCCTGGCTAAGTGGCTGAGGCTGGCCTCCACCTGGCGATCCTCCTGCCTCAGCCTCCTGAGTCACTGGGATCACCAGCTGCTGCACCCTAAGGCTTCCTTACCGTTGGCTCTGGGCACCCATATTGAGAACGGGGTTGTCCCACTCTTGAAAGGCAGCACTTCTGTCACCTTTGGTGGCTTAGAGACAAGGGCTGGCCGGGGCTCCCTTCGGGTGGCCGGGGGAGTGGCTCTGCCTGGCCAGCAGCCCTGGCTGGCCTGTCCGTGGCACGGCACCCAAGGGCGAGCTGAGCGGCCCGAGGCGGGTGGCCGACTTTAGAGGCTGGGAACGTGGGCGTGGCTACTTTGCACGTCCAGGAAGAAGAGGAGCTGGAGGGCCTAGTGGCCCTGGGACCAAAGGAGGGTCTCTTCCCCCATGTGACTTGGTGGTCTGTGCGCCAAGAGGCCTCCAGGCCCAGCCTGGTCCCCTGCCACCAGGTTCCTCCTTAGGACCAGACCCCTGTTTTCCTTTCACATGGCGTGACCGTGCCTGGGCCTGGTCAAGGACACGGACAGGTGTGCAGAGCGCCCGGTGGGCAGAAGTCCCACCTCCAGCACCTGCGCCCTGTCCCCAGGTCCGGGGCCACTGGACATCAGCATAAGAGCACGCGGTGGCTCTTTCCATTACCACCGCAGGCCACATTTCTGGTGGCAGAGGGGACACGGGCCACCTCTCCCCAGATCCTGGGGGCCACCTCGCTGCTGTGGTGGGCAGGCGACGAGCCCTGTCACCACTCCTCCAGTGGCTGTACTGATGTGCGTCCTTACCGTCCCCAACCCTCTCTGTACCCCATGCCAGACCCCACTGTGCTCTGACCCCAGGCACGAGGAGCCTGTCCCCTGTTCTCCCAGCTCCACTGGGGGCCAGAGGCGGCCCCACCCCTTCCTCACCTAGAGCGGCCAGAGCACAGGGGACAGCGTCCTCCTGTCCCACCCCGCAGCCCGGCTCCCAGGTGGTCCCCAGAGCTGGTCAGAGGGGCCCGAGGGTCCTTCTCAGCCTCTGGCCCCGGAGCGCAGGGTGACACGGGTCTGTCCCCCCCTGAGCCGGGCCTCTGACCTTGCAGGAGGTGTTTCGGCGACACCGAGGGCTCCAGCTGGTGGCCCTGGTGGAGGAGGTGCTGCCCCGCCACCGCAGCGGCCGCCACGGGGACTGGCACATCTCCCTGAGCAAGCCCAGCGAGAAGGAGCAGCACCTGCTCATGGCGCTGGTGGGCGAGCAGGGTGAGGACGGCGGGCGGCCGGGGCCCTGGGTCCCCAGGTCCCCAGGACAGCACACCCCCCGGTCGCAGGCCCCAGGCCACCGATACGCTTGGGTTTGGGGGCAGAGGTGGAGGGCGCAGGGGCAGGGCACCAGGAAACGCGTTCCAGCCCAGATGGGGACGCCACAGTGTGGCGGGAAGGAGGGGCAGGACGGGCTGCAGAGGTGACGTCCGGCCACACCTGTTACCTGGTCACCCACGGGGTCAGCTGGACGGACAGGGAGCCCAGGACGCAGAGAGGGCGCGCCCCTCTCCGCAGGCGCTGGTGGTGCGCGCTTGCGCCTGTGCGCCCGAGGATCTGGGTGTCATCAGAGCCCGAAAGTGGGGCTGAAGGGACCCAGGCCAGTGGTCCCAGAGGGGGTCTAGGTCTAGGGACCCCCAGAGGGGCCGCAGGGGCCAGGCCGTGCTGATGGGGGCCTTTCTCCTCCCAGGGGTGGTGCCCACCCAAGATGTGCTCTCCATGCTGGGTGACATCCGCAGGAGCCTGGAGGAGGTAAGGGCTCAGGGACTTGGATCCCTGAGCTGCTCCTGGGCTCGCTCCCGTCTGTCCCTCGAGCTCTGGGGACACGCAGGCTTCCCTGAGGGGCCCCACGGCCATGGGTCAAGGGTCCAGGAAGCCCACACAGACCGGGCTCTGGGCAGGGCGAGGCCTCGTGCGCCTGGGGCCCTTCCCAGCCAGGCCCCGGGAAGGGGGAGTCAGGGAAGGGCCTGGAGAAGAGGGGTCGGGGTAAACAGGAAACAGCAGGACCCCGTAGCACCTGGAGGAGGGAGCGGGACGGGTTCTAGAAACCTCAAGAATGTTCTGGAAGCCTGGGTATGCCCGGGAGCCACCAGCCCAGTCCCTCCCAATGGCCAGCCGCCATTGCTCCTCCCGCTGGGGACCTGGGGCGCCAGACATGGACTGCCATCTTGGGTGCTGAATGCCTGGGGAGACCTGGGCGGAAGGACAGACGGCAGCCTCTCCCCAGCTGCTGGACCAGCCCGGGGAAGCCGAGGTCCCCAGTCTCCTTACCTACCTCCCTGAAGGACAGGACGCTGCGTTCCTCACCCCCCTCTCGTTCCTCACCCCCCTCTCGGGGAACCCACTGACGCGTTGTCAGTCCCCTTCATTCTTGAGCTCTGTAATATGTGACAGTAGATACGAACGCGTGACCCTGGGCCACATCCTTATCTGTCACATGCAAGGGGACCCTGTTTCCGTGCTGGTGTTTTATCTTGGTAAACACAGTGCTGCTCACGCGGGGCCAGACCTGGGTGCTCCCCCACCCCAGGCTGTCAGGACCAAACAGGGCACCCTCTGGGTGACACCCTCCATAGGCAAGTGACCTCACACCCAGAGAAGGGAGGTCACTTGCCTATGGAGATCTTCCCCAGTTCTGCAATCCTGGGCTCGGGGACACTGTGGTGGGGACGGTGGAGGCCTGGCCTTGGCCTCCTGCACCTGCCTCCCTCCCCCTGGGTACTCTGTCCTCACGGGTCCCTGATGCCGCTGGACTGCGCCCCATGACATGCCAGGTCTCTGCAAGGATGTAAGCACACAAGCTGAGCAAGGACACTGGCAGGTGGTTCTAGCAAGACAAACTGACCCTTGTTAACCACAAGTCCCCAAAACGTGCAGCTGGGTCACAGAAATGGCAAGAACTAAAATCCCGGGGCACCCAGGCCTGCCACACGGCCACCTGGCATCCCTGCCCTCGGGGCTCAGCAGCCTCTTGGCAGAGAGGACAGGCCTGGGACAGACCAC